TATTATTAAACTTAATAAGATATAATTATTAATTACCTCATAAAAGCTATAAACATATTTTGTATAATGCTTACAATTAACAAGCTTGCAATTAAAGATAAAATTTGAACTGCAAAATAACTGCCATAAGTATCCCTATTTATCCAGTTACCATTAATCCAAAAATATGCAGCTGGAATTGAACTAAAAAAATTTGAAAATGGATTATCAATTGATGATGTGCTGTCAAAATCTGCTTTAATTGTTATATCATTATACACTGTTTGATTGGTAGTTGTATTGACTATAGAATATGTATTCACACTTGGTACTAATCCTATATCATCTGGATTTTGTAGCAATATATACCTATAATAATATATTATTATTATATTATTTTAGAGAGAATGTTTTAAATTACAAATATACTACTTACATTACATGAGCAAATGCCAATATAACAAATAACAAAAATGGCCCAATAGTCACCAAAAGATTATCTGTGATTATAATATAAAATCCTATACCTACAAAAATTAAATTTTATATATATATATATATATACACAATGTACCTTCAAATAATCTAAGGTATAAAAGCTTTTTAAATAAACAACAAGTTTGGCTCATAGCACAAGTCTTGCAATGAAGATTACACGAAGTGCCAGGGCCTGGATTCTTACAAAATTTTAATCTATTTGAATGTTAATTAAGTATTAAATTTTATTATTATTGTTATTTTATTATTATTTGATTATATCAATGAATTTTTTTAGATTGGATTTAGATGGATTGTGATTAATTATATGATGTTGATTATAAATTGAGCTATTTAGTTTAATAAATAATTTTTACCCAGAATAGTGAATATTTTCAAAGTTTTAATACTTTTACTTAATGATTCAATCAAATTATTTGATATTCCCCAATAAGATTTTAAAGTCCATCGCCATAAAGCTTCTTTTGCTTTCAGTTCATGTTCAGATCTTGGTTTAGGATAAAAATCATTCCATTCTGACCATGAATCAGATATTAAATGAATTTCTTGCAATTTTTGATTTTGAAATATTGGTATTATTATATCTTTTAAAACATAAGATGGCGACAACGAAGAAGATGATGTAGATGAAGAAGTTATATGATCTAAATCTATCACCAATGATAATAAGTTTTCATGACATAATAATAATAAGGATCGAAGACCTTTGGACGTAAAAGTTTGTTGATTAATTTTACCAAGAAATAAACATTCTATTGTACTTTTTGGTAACATTTGTAAAGGTGAATTAGTAATTTCTGCAGAACTCGAATTAATTATCTCTGTGGAATTTGAGTTCATCATCATCATCGTCGTCGATAATTCATTTTCAATCATTAATAAATCTTCATCGTAAAGAATTAAATTTTTCAAAAATAAATTTTTTAAATTTTTAGACTCTAGTAATAAATGAATTATTGATTTGCTCGTAATGTTTGCACATGGGTAAATCCCATCGTATCCAATAGTGACTTCTGTTAAATTACTGGTTTTGTTATAATTGTCATCTTTGAGAAGTGGTATGATGTAATTAATTATTCCTTTGTTGGTGAAATTTGTTCCGTTCAATGACAATCTTTTAATATCTTTGATAAATGATTTCTTACGACTTATTTTCTTCAATAATAAATCATTGAATGACGAATGATTAGAATCTAAAATTAATTCCTTTAATCCTTTTCTCTTGAATAGAATCCTTGTTAGTTTGTTGATGACTTTATCTTCGCCTCGATTAATTTTCTTGTTTTGGTTGGTTTCTTTACTTTCATTTTCGCTTCCACTCTCACTTTCTTCTTCATCATCACTGTCATTGTTATCATGGTTAATAGGAGATTTGATCTGAAGATGTAATGACTTTAAGTTCGGCAATAATTCTTGTAGCAATTCCAAAGTTGCAAATAATCCGTTTGTTTTTTTATTAGAAAACATTGAAATTGGACAAATAATTATATTTTTTATAAATTTATAATAATCAAACATTTTAGAAGAAGTGGCGGCAGATTTTAAAATTAGAAAAATTTTACGTTCATTTGCTTCATAAATATAAATAGTTTTCCATACTTGAGGTATTGCGGCTTTGGCAAATGTTCTATTAATAAATATGATGTTTGATCCGATCACCTTGAATCTCTCATGTTTAATGATTATAGATGTAATGTTTTCTAGAATGTCAAATGGAAGTTTTGATAATGGAAATGGTGATTTATTTTTTGATTGCATTATTATGATTTATGAAAAAGTGTCAAAATTTTGAAAAATGAAAAAAAATGTTTTTTTTATCTTAATTTATATTTATTGAATTTAAATTTATAATGTCTTTATATATTTTTATTGTCTTTTTTATTATTTATTTGTATAATATATTAATATGTATTTATAATTTATTACATGTTTGTTGTGTGTGTGTGATCTATTCTTTACAAAAATTATTACTCTAATTTTAGCAATTTTTTTACACATGTGTACACACATTTAATTCGTAGAGAAAAAATTTTCTCCAGAATTTTTTTCTTTAAAAAAGGATAAATGGATGAAACGAGTTTTTGTTTGTGTGGCTAAGTTTTTTATATATACCAGAATTGGAATTTAGAATAATCTCAAGTTAACGCCCGATTATTTAGCAGTTATGGCTTGTCAGTTAATTATAACCAACTCGGTGCGTGTCGATATTAATTAGTTTACGAACATGCATTGGTTCTCGCTTACTGTGTACTCTACGAATCTGTGAGATTCATTCAATGGCACAGTATAACTTTAAATAAATAAATATGGCTCTTTACAAAACTCAAATGCTAAGTTCCTTTTTTATTTATTTCGGTCGTTTACCCTTGTTTTATTTCCATTTGGCCGATCGCAAACTCTCTTTTTTCATTACAAAACAAATAACTTAGACAGCTCATTGACTAACTTTGGGCTAACTAACTAGCGCTAACAAAGTCTCGTAACATACACTCCCTGGACAAAAGTTTCGGTAACCACAAAACAATTAATCACGTAAAAACGTACATAATAAAACACAAATAAATTTCATCAAATTGTGATTAAAGTTCTTAAGAATATGTATGCAAAATTCAAATTTTTGTGATGTTTGGGAGAATAACAGTTAAAAAAATAAAAAGTTCGACCAAAAATAATTTTTTGGAAAATGATCTCCAAAAGATTTTATTTGCAAGTATTTATATCACTTCTCAAAAAAAAAAAAAAACGCACACCACACCCGAAATTTTACTTATTTGTATACAAGTCAACACTTTGTTGGCCGCCCATTATTGGATATAACAGCTTCTATTCTTCTCGACATACTTTCTATCAAATTCATGTAAATATTTTCTAGGAATTTGATTCCATTCTTCATGTAAAGTTCAACATTATTTTTAAATTTATTTGGACCTTTCCGAATACGAATTTCTAATTGATCCCACAGATGCTCTTTGGATTCAAATCAGGAGATTGACTTGGCTTTGACATTTTTTAATTTTATCAAAAATTTCAAAAATTTCAAGCCAATTTTTTACAAAAAACTTGTATAAAAAACTAGAATAATTAATAAATATATTCATACTCCATTTAATATGTTTTAGATAATTGATGATTTTAAAATAATAATTCTAATTATATTATTCAAAAACCTTATTATGTCTGCTCAACTGTTATATCATTATCTTTCAACAAATTATTATATTTTTTAAATATAATAATAATAAAGTTAATAACACTAAAGAAAATATATGATAATTATAGTGATAAATTATAATTTACCAAATTATAATGCTTCAGACTTCAATAGGTAATAAATCAATTTAGTTGTATCTCACCATTCTCTTGCATTTAACCCATAATGTGAATGTGGTTTTATTTCACCAAAGATTTTACAATAAAACAAGGCATTTTGCCATTTTAAATTTCTATAATTATTATAGACCAGTATGTAATGATTAATTTACTGTATAATGTAACATACCAAAAATCAAAACCATTTTATGCCTTTTTCTTGTTGGCCATATTGCTGACAAAGATGTATATAATCATGTGATAATTTTAATCTACAGTACAGGGGACTGATTGGGCAAAAACCAGTTCAGTCAGTCCCCTATCCAAAATTATAAATTGGTTAGTATCAGAGAAACAGAGAATTTAGGAAAATGATTATACACTATTTTACAACTTTCCTCTTAACATCAGAGTCCGAATGCAATTTCAGGGCCACCAACCCTGCTCTGAATTGCGACCTCCTGGTGCTTGAAATGAGTTGCAGATTCTCTTAATATTTCTCCAGAGTTGTGATTTGGTCACAGAGCCATCCTTACCAAGAGTATGATCGTTGCAGGTGACTTTTTGGCTAGTGTGGCAGCCTTCTTTGGCCTGGTGCTGTGAGGGAAGATTAGTGAAAGTGTTATTGACAATTGGTGCAGTCTCAGTAAACTCCAGGGCCATGTTACCTCCCCCTAGAATTCGGTTGCATCATTGTATCATCGGGGGGTGCAAGTCAGATTAGCCTTTGTACATTAGGAATGTGTGTGAATGATTGTAAAGTGTTCAGGTAGTGTGCATGCTTCAACACCTATAAAATTTCCAATATTCAAACATTGCATATTTGAATTGTTTCAATGGTGTGTTGCCTTGACATCTTGTAATTATAATATTATTAATATTGATTGTGAAAAGCAAAATACACAATCTTGATAATTACCCAGCAATGATCTGCTCTAAGGATACCGGCTGCAACTTTTGATGATGGTTGCTACCATCTTTGCATCATATAAAAATGATTGCAACCACCTTTA